AGAGAGAGAGAGAGAGAGAGAGAGAGAGAGAGAGAGAGAGAGAGAGAGAGAGAGAGAGAGAGAGAGAGAGAGAGAGAGAGAGAGAGAGAGTTTCAGATCGGGTAGAATTCCGAGAACTTTTTGAATCATAATCAAGTATGTTCTCTGAGAGACTGAGTGTTATCTTTTCTTGCTTTTTTGTTTGGCTTGTCCCATTCTCTCTTCTCCTTCCTTCTTAACTTTGCATTATTATTTCTCTTTTCATGGTATGTGAAGATGCATGGATTGTGCAACTACATGTGTGGTTTTCTCTCGCATGTCTGGCTTGCTTTTTATATGATCTCAGTTGTAATTGACTTCGGATGATGTCTTGCGAGCGTGAATGTATGTCTCCCTTGTGTTTCTTTATGCGCATTTAGGACTTCGTTTAAATTATTTTCTTATACATGGGAAATTATTGCGGATGAATGTGGGATATGGATGATGTATCTTGGCATTGTATATCTTCCCAATTCCCCTCTTGGATTGATCACCCGCCCCTTTTCCCTATCTGAAGAGACTCGAGATCTGTGAATCATGATGTAATGTCTGTGATGGGATAGCTCGTATCAGCGTCCCCTATCACTTCTCGAGCGAAGTCAACTGTGCGAAATTTGCAGATTCTGGGTTTCCTCCATACCCCCTTGTCCTTCCTTAATATCACAAACTGGTCTTGGCCCCTAGTCTGCCATACCCTCTTAAGTGGTTCCATGTTCTGTGCTCTGAATGTCAACACGGGGAGTTTTACAAACGGCGTGGAGTTCCCTAGCGTCCTCACAGTGAGGCGGAGTACAAAGCTAGGGCCACTCAGCTGAGAGCCTCGTCGTCAGACTTGGAACTCTGTCAGCCCCATAGGGGACATGCAGAAGCATTGTGTGACCCTGTGTACACCCCGGACCGTTTAAGGGTGGAAAGCACAGACGACGATGGGCTTGAACCGACGCCGTTTCACACTAATTTCCTTGCTGCCACTACCACTAGAACAAATTGCATAATTACCCTTCTGATGAAGGCTTGATTGGTTGGAGCGCCGACTTCTCATTAGTCGCGTCCCCAGAGCCCTGGAAGCAGAGATCTCATTAAATTTTTCCAATGTTGGATTCCAACCCCCCCCTTTCCTAAAATGCTTGGCTCACTCCCTAATTTGTACTTGGGGGCCTACTCCCGCTCTGATCAGGAAGTCCTGCAGGCAGTGCAGGGCGTGAGGTTGGGCGCCAGGAGGAGACAGAGGCTGGAGGGGAGCGGCCTCTGTCTCCTCATGGTGCCCCCCGGAAGGCAGGGTCCACCCCCCCTGCAGAAGTGAAAGGTTTAGTGGTAGGAGGAAGCGCAGTGGATGGGTATTAGGCGTACAGAACAGACTCTGAGCTCTTCCTCAACTTTCAACCTCTTTCGAAAAAAGGGTATGGGCTAGGGAAGGTAGTGCTATGGGGTGTATGGGTATCAGGTCCAGGGAACAGGCTGCTTAGCTAGCTAGTAGTTGTGGTGGGGAATCTGGCAGTCACTCAAGGGCTGAAGAGGATAGCCAACGTACATGCTCAAGTTCTCAGTACGTCTCAGCAATTCTGTAAAAGATTCTGTATAAGGGACGTTTGGCCCGGTTTCCAGCAGGTGACGCTCCCCACCAATTGACTGGAGCCGCAGGTGGACTGCTAGTGGTGGGGGCTCATATCACCATCACTTCCAGTGCCAACGGGTGTCTCTTTCTCTTAATAAATAAAGACAGTTATAAGACATGCAGACTCACACATTACAAGGCTAGGACTACAAGGGGGCAACCCGAACTGCAGAATACAGGTTGACGATACACATACTGCAGACTACAGACGTACACTAACTATCCAGACCTGCACAGAGATACAGAAAGAATCAGGCTATGTAGGATACCTGCTACAGCGGTCGGATCGACTCGCATGAGGTACAGGCGTTAACGACGCTTAGCGCTAACCTGCGCTACGGACCGGCTGGCAAGGCTCAGCCATACTCCGTGGACGGGGGTAGTGGTGATCTTCTCCATATCTATCCCTGGTCATTTAGGTGTCCGCTTGGTCATTTTGCCCAGGCGATGGTGGATATTCCACCAGGTACATCAGAAGACGGTACGTCGGCGTGAGGCGTCTATTTTGCTAGAGTTGACAACGCGGTTTTCTGGACGACATGGACGGCATGGTTTACAATGAAGACGTAAGGCTAGGTGCGGCTGAATGGTTGCAGATTATAGAAGAAGGCGGCCGCCGTCTGCAAGAGGTTGTGGATATTCTGTGCTCGAGTCGGGGTGATCAGCTAGGGGCTGTARGGGGGACAGTYACACTGGYGCAATGGCTGGAGGACATKATGCAGAGCATGCTTGATGTCATTTGGGAGTTGGAGGAGGGGCCGGCTCCTTCGCTCATTGATTTTGTGGATTGGCATCAAGCAGGCCTTCTTATGCACAGATGCTATGACATCTKCAGGAAAGKGCAGGATCGCTGTGCAGTTTTGGAGGCGGGATTGTTGGTACGCTCCGACAGGAGGGATCAGAGGTGGGGTGCGGGCGAAGGACTGATGCCGACAACGCCAGAGATAACAAACGAAGAAATCAGCGGCGATAACAGCTTCAACATCAATAATGATTGCAACGACAACAACGGCAACAACAACATCAACAGAGGTGACAGTACTAACGACAACAACGAGAACGTTGACAACGACAACAACAACAACAACAACAACGACAACGACAACGACAATCATTTCGAGAATATCAACTACATTGTCTTGGGTGATATATTTGATAGCACCAGCAAAGGAAACGACAACAATAACGGCGCTGTTGGGATTGGTGGCGACGCTGACAATGATAGCACCAATAACATTAACAACAACGATGATGATAGCGTGGGCTGTGATGACAAGGACGATATGAACCGTGGCTGCAGTGGGACAATTAGAGCTGTTGGTTGGCAGCGGATCGGCGTGGGTTAGTCGGGGGTGATTGGAGTTGCCCGGCCCGTAACACCAATCAGGAAGGGGCGGTGGTGGGCCCTCTGGCGGGAGGTGGACTGTTTAGTTTTTTCCTTGTCATCCCTGATTTGTGCCTATTGATTACTATGCTGTGCTGGAAGATTGTTTCTCAGAACGCGTAACGAGGATGCTTGCCATTAGGGTTTGGGTCGCTGGGAAATAATCAAGGCCTTTGTCCCTGTTGTGAT